CCACAGTATGATGATTCTGGTGATTTTGAAAGATGGTGTATGGTCTTTCAGAATCTGTATTGAGACCTCCAGTGTTATTTTACTCTTGTGCAGCAGGAATGAGTTAGTTTGAAATTCTTTAAAAGTGTGCCTCAGCCTCTGATATGCCTTTTTGATTTGGCCTCCACTTAAAAAAAGACATTTTTCAAACTTTATAGTGTATCTAAAGTATAACTGAAGTCATATACTTTATAGCTGAATGGACTCATAATGCATGATTACACAACTTCAGAACCCATTTTGTTAAGTGAAATGGTGACATTTTATGCAATATTAAGCCAACTAGAATAATTTTCTTGCTCTTAGCCATAACTTCTCTGTGTCCTTATTGAAAAATTTTAGGGTGTGTTGTAGAAGGTTTTGACAGGAGAGAATGTTTAGAAAGATATGCAGAAACAGGGCCTTTTTGTCATTATTCCATCAAGAAAAAATAAGATAAAACTTGTGAAATAGGAAAGTGGTTGAAATGCCTCAGTTTGTGTTATAATGCATTAAATTATATTTATTTAGTAATAGTTTGATTAAAAAAAAAGTGAATTTTAAAATTATAGCCTTATTCCCATTTTTAAAAATACCTTACTGGTTATGAGAGCATATATATGTGTGTAAAAAATAAAACATTAACAACTGTACTTTCAGCATTTCATGTTTTTGCCAACTTATATCTTTAAAGCAGCCAGAAATGTAGTCCTGTATTTAGTACAATATGGACAGTTTTATTGCTGTTGCTCTTTACTCAGTAAACTGAGACTTAAACTAGAAAAATAGTTTGCTGAGCTTTGGGGGCAATAACCGTAATATGAAACTGCCCTGTATAACATAATGTGTTGTCCTCGGTTTCTTATATGTTAACAGTTTTCCTCCATTCCTTGCTATGTAAATCTACTTGAAATTGTGTAACTTTCCTCCCTCAAAGTGAACTAAATTTTTTCTTATATATGAACTACAGAAAATATAAGCAAGCAAAAAGAATGTAAAAAATTATCAATGATTCCATCTACTCACAGCTATTTATTTTAACACTTTTGGGGGTATTGCTTTCAGGCCCATTTGTTTGCATGTGTAAACTCATACACACATCACTTTTTTTAACATGAAAAATAAGTTTTGTACTCTGCTTTTTTCACTTTACATGTTTTTGTGTCACTACATATATTTCTGAACAGCTACACTTTGTTGTATACATTCACTGTAAGTTGTTTTTACAGTTCCCCATTATTGATCATTTAGGCTGTTTCCAAATTTTTCCTGTTAAAACAGCATGAGAATAAACGTCCTATAGCTAAATATTTTGTTCCTTTATTCAGTGGATACTTGTTGAGTACCTACTGTATGTTAGCCACTATATTGGTATTGGGTTACAATAGTGAGCACAAAACACCAAGTTACTACTCACATAGAATTAAATTCTAACAGGAGAGCAGATGTTAATCAAATAATCACACTTCTGTATATGTAGTTTATAATTGAAATGAATGCTCTGGAAGAAGGAATACGCTCTGTGAAAGAATACAGACAAGGATCCTGACTGGGGTTAGGGAAGACCTCATTGAAGAACTGCTGCTTGAGCTAGCAGTTCACTCATTGGAGAGGTTGGAGAGTGGGTTGGTGTTGCACAGAAGGAGATTATTCCAGACAGAATGAATGGTATTATGCAAATGCCCTGTGGCAGGAGGGTTTATAGCATATTTGAGGAACTAAAAGAAAAGAAAGCTAGTATGGCATGAACACTGAAAGCAGCGGTGTAAGACATTGCCAGCGATGTAGTCAGGGGCCAAGCCAAGCAGAGCCTCACAAGCAATGTTACAGACTTTGATCTTCATCTTAAGAGTGGTAGGATGCACCTGAGGAGTTTTAAACTATGAGTAATATATGATTGCAGGGTATACTCATTGAACAGGGAGCAGAGTGGACACAGAGAAATCATTTAGGAGGATGTTGCAAGTAGTTGAGGTGAGAGGTTACGATAGCTTGGATTAGGTTGGTAGTAAAAATAGAAGTAGATTCAAGAAATTTTTATGAAGTAAAATTGATTCAGCTTGGCTCATACTCTTAAGTATTTTGTGACGCATAAGTTTCCAGAAATGGAATTCTTGACACAAAGGGTAAATAATTTTAAAAGCTGATGGTAGATATCAAAATGCTTTCTGGATAGATTGTTTCAGTTTACTCTCCCATTAATAGTGTGTTAGAGCGCCCATTTCAATACAACTTCACCATCAATGAGCATTAACTTTTGGGTTTTTTTTTAAATATTCCAGAAAGTGAGTAGATACTTCAGTTTTTAAAATGGAGATTATTTTGCTAGCTATAATAACATAGTAGTTTTGGAATATATATGTATTGATCTTATTTTGGCTTTACAAAGTGTGGTTTTGATTCTTAATATTCTGCCTCTAAAAGCTGAAACTAAAACAAAAAGATTTCATGGGAGTGTTGCCTCAGGAACTTGAGAGAAAGAAAAATGGAAGATGATTTAGGTCAGATGAAACATGACTGGAAAATTGTATTTTTGTTGAAATATTTAATAATCCAACCTCTGTTCTGTATAATTAATATCAAGACTCCTACTTTCCTAAACATTGCATTACAACTCTACTTTATCATGAGTTTTGACTGAGGGCTCCAAACTATTTTAAATAAACATTGATAAAGAGCCCAAAAGTATATAAAGATTTTGACCACAAAGATGGAAATACTGAAATGTTGATTAAAGTTTGTGTAATGTACTGATAGCTTAATAGATGAGAAATAAATGTACAGTACATGTCCTCTTGTCCCCCCTGAATAACTTTTTGGCAATATGAGGATGGCTGTAGCTGGAAGTAAAAAATTAAGTAGCTTTTTTTTTCCATTCAAGTTATATTCATTTATTTATTTTTTTATTAATATATAATATATAATGTATTATTTGTTTCAGGGGTACAGGTCTGTGATTCATCAGTCTTACACAATTCACAGCACTCACCATAGCACATACCCTCCCCAGTGTCCATCACGCAGCCATGCCATCCCTCCCACCCCCCTCCACTCCAGCAGCCCTCAGTTTGTTTCCTGAGATTAAGAGTCTCTTATGGTTTGTCTCCCTCTCTGGTTTCATCTTGTTTCATTTTTCCCTCCCTTCCCCTATGATCCTCTGCTTTGTTTCTCAAATTCCACATATCAGTGAGATCATATGATAATTGTCTTTCTCTGACTTATTTCGCTTAGCATAATACCCTCTAGTTCCATCCAGTCATTGCAAATGGCAAGATTTCATTTTTTTTAAGATTTTATTTATTTGACACACAGAGAGAGAGAGCACAAGCAGGGGGAGTGGCAGGCAGAGGGAGAGGGAGAAGCAGGCCTCCCGCTGAGCAAGGAGCCCGATGCAGGGCTCGATCCCAGGATCCTGGGATCATGACCTGAGCCGAAGGCAGACACTTAACCAACTGAGCCACCCAGGAGCCCCCAAGATTTCATTTTTTGATGGCTGCATAATAGTCCACTGTATATATACACATCTTCTTTATCCATTCATAAGTAGCTTTTTAAAAGAAATTTGTATAGTTTCTTTTTCTCCAGGATAGTTTGAGCTTGAAAGATACTGACCTTAGATTCAGAATAAAAGTTATGTTTGCAAATATCTTCTCCCCTATCGTTTTGGCTTTTTGATAGTTTTCTTCACTGTGCAAAAGCTTTTTATTTTGGTGTAGTCCCAATAGTGTAATTTTGCTTTTGTTTCCCTGCCAGAAGAGACATCTAGGGAAACGTTTCTGCAGCTAGTGTCAAAGAAATTACTGCCGATGTTTTCTTCTAGGAATTTTATGGTTTCCTGTCTCACATTTAGGTCTTTCATCCATTTTGAATTTATTTTTGTGTATGGTGGTAAGAAAGTGGTCCAGTTTCATTCTTTCGCATGTAGCTGTCCAGTTTTCCCAGCACCGTTTTTTGAAGAGACTGTTTTCTTCCCATTGTATATTCTTGCCTCCTTTGTCATAGATTAATTCACCATAAAAGTGTGAGTTTATTTCTGGACACTCTATTCTGTTCCATTGATCTATGTGTCTATTTTTGTGCCAGTACCATACTGTTTTAATTACTACAGCTTTGTAGTATATCTTGAAATCTGGGACTGTGATACCTCCAGCTTAGGTCTTTTTGTTAGTTTTAATTTTAATTCCAGTTAACGTATAGTGTAATATTAGTTCCAAGTTATAATACGGTGATACAGCAATTCCACATATCACCCAGTGCTCATCATGACAAGTACTCTCCGTAATTGTCATCCGTCCCCCCCACTCCCTTCCCCTCTGGTAACCACTAGTTTGTTTTCTCTAATTAAGAGTCTGTTTCTCTCTCTCTTTTTTTTTTCTTTTCTCACATTTGTTTTGTTTCTTAAATTCCACATGAGTAAAATCATATGGTATTTGTCTCTCTCTGACTGACTTAACTTTCATTATACCCTCTAGCTCCATCCATGTCCTTACAGATGGCAAGATTTCATTCTTTTTATGGCTGAGTAATATTCCATTGTATATATCCTACTACTACGTCTTTATTAATCAGTGGACAGTTGGGCTGCTTCCATAATTTGGCTATTATAAATAATGCTGCTATAAACATAGGGGTGCATATATCTCCTTGAATTAGTGTTTTTGTATTCTTTGGGCAAATACCCAGTAGTGTGATTGCTGGATCATAGGGTTGTTCTTCCTTTTTCAAGATTGCTTTGGCTATTCAGGGTCTTTTGTGTTTCCATACAAATTTTAGTATTATTTTTTCTAGTTCTGTGAAAAATGTTGTTGGTATTTTGATAGGGATTGCATTAACACTGTATGTTAATTATACTTGAATAAAAAAAGTTATGTTTGAAATGTTTGCAAATTTCTCTCAAATATGTACATAATTCTACATTATTGAAATGCAGTTATATTTGAAATGACATGTTACTTACTGCTTTGTTTTCTCTCTTTCAACAGTTAAAAGATGTTGATACTCGGAAAATCATAAAAGCAATGCTTTCTTATGTGTGGCCCAAAGACAGGCCAGATCTACGAGCTAGGGTTGCCATTTCCTTGGGATTTTTGGGTGGCGCAAAGGTAAGAATGGGAGAAATTATACATTGTTTGTTGCTGTAACTAAGAAATAGTATGGCATTTTCTAATAATGAAACTTGAGCTGATAAAAGCTACTTTGGGGTAGCACTGTTAACTTTTAGGACCCTCATTTATATAACTATTTTATGCAGTCAGAAATTATATGGTAATGCCCATTTTATCTGTGGATCAGATTTAAGGGCCTCAACTTAATGGAATTCACTCCTGAAACCAGTGTAAGATAAAGGATCATTAGTTGTGACAAAGCATTAGGAACTTTATAAAAGAATCTCCTCAGAGCCCTGTTGGCTCTTTCTTAATATATATTTCTAGTAAGCTTGGTTTTCAGCTCCTAGTAAACTGAAAAGAGGATGAAAACACATTTAGACACACTGATAGTCATAAGTGGTAAACAACAAGGTGAAGGGAAAAAAACAGGAAAACTTAAAAAAAAATACACCCACAAAAGCTGGGCATTTTTGTACCACTCAGTATAGGGGTCCTCTATATCTTAGCAGCTTCTTCAGTTTATCTCTGTAATGTATGTAGCGCATTTTAATAAGGCAGTTATAATGACTCTGAACTTTGAAGGAAAAAACCTTATTTTCAATTTACTCAGATTTTAAAGTCAGTGAAGTATATATCTTTAGGTACAATATGTATTATGGTACATATGTAGTCTTTGGAGTCAGAATTCCTGGGCTCTGGCACTTACTAACGTAACATTGGGCAAATTGCTTAGTCTTCATGCCTCAGTTTCCCAAGTTGTAAAATAAGGTAAAATACTGTTTTCATAAGGATTAAATAAATTAACATACAAAAGACTTGAAACAGTGTTTGGCACGTAGTAAAACATATGTGTTAAAATAAAAATAAATTAATTTAGATTTCCATCAAAAATATGGTTAAAAAGTCTGCTGAAAAGTATAAATGACGTTTGACTGCCACTCTTATGTGTAAGGGTTAATACATTGTTTTAGAACCCAGGTCATATCACTTATTTCTTCTCTGTGTCAGGTATGTTGCCTTTTATTTACTTACTCTTTTCCTTACTCTAAAAATGTGTATTGAGAACTTGTCATACAAAGGACTGTTCTTGGCCCTGCAGAGTATTCAAACATAAATAAAGCATATTTCTTCTCTCAAATCATACAGGATAAGACAAGTTACATTTTATTGCTATACTGCAGAGTAAGTCATAAATAATTTAAAAGAAGTACCATTCACATATTGGGTGATTTCATAGGAAAAAACCACCAAGATGGGGAGTCTGGAAAGGTTTCACAGAGGAGGTGATGTCTGAGATAGTCTTGGATTGAGGTAGGATTGTTATAGGTATAGGAGTAACATGGACAGGATGAGAGAGGGCATATAGTGTGTGTGGAGTAGTAAATACTCCAGCTTTGCTCTAGTGAGGGGATAGTGTTTCAGAGAAACTAGAAGTAACCTTGGAAAGATAGATGGAGCTCCTAATGTGAAATACCTTAACTGAAACAAAAATTTAATTATGTTGGAACTAGGAATATATATTTTGAGTAGAAGAATAATAATTTTAGAGCTATACTTTAGGAAATTAATCTGATCCTGTTGTATAAGATGGATTAGGGTGGTAAGAGAACTAAAGTAGGGATACTATTGATTTTCATTTCATGTATTCATTCAGCAAATATTTACTGGCCAGTTATGAGGCTGATGTAATAATCTAAATGAAAAGTAATAGCACTTTGTACTGGAGTAGTGGTAGAAATGGTAATATGGAGGGAGAAGATGCCAGAGATATTGTGAGGTAAGGGAAGTAGAATCAACAAGACTTAGCAATGGATCAGATATTAGAAGTAAAAGAGAAATAGGTTTCAAAGTTGATGCCAAGGATTAGAGAAGAAAAATGCTTTTAACAGAAGTAGGTAGGAAGTTAGGAGGTCTTGTTTGGGAAGATGAAAATTTTGGTTTGGTGCAAGTTAAGTTTGAGATGCTAAAGGAACGTTGAGACAGAGATATTTAGCTGATAATATAAAATGCAAGACAAGTTCAGGAAGGAGCCCCAGGCTAGAGAGATTAAGAGGTAATAGTTGGGGGGGATAGGTAAAACAATGCAGATTAGTTCACCAAGGAATAGAGCAGAAATAGAAGATGACTACAGACAGAACCTGTGATAAATGTGCTCCTATAGGGTAATAAACAGTAATGGAAACAGGAAAGGAGTGATTGGAGAGTAAAACTAGAATAATTCAGTCCAACTGTTCATTGTCTTTTCTCCTCTCTCATCTATTGTATTGGTTCTGTTGAGTACTCTCCCAATGAACCAGACCCCTTCCCTGGGAGAAGACTAAATCAGGATACTAAACAACAGACCAAGAATCCATACTTTATTGTTTATTTAAGCTGAACAGAGAGGATAATATTATAAATCTAATTTTGGTAGCTAATGTTGAAATTCTTTGAACTCATATTTTTAGCACAGTACTGGTGGCAGAATTGTCTTTTACCTACAAATTACTTAAGGATAAAGATTATTCTGAGCTCTTGTGCAAGGCAGGATTAGCAAATTGGCCTTTATGCTTTATTAGCTGACTGAAAGTACTTGGCTGACAAGTTAAAGGCAGATTGTTTTCTGGACTTCCTCTTGAATTGAAGAGAACAGGTTAGAACATGACTAATTAGGTTAGTTGAAGGGAGGAGTGTTAAATAATGACATTTATATTAGATTTTATTTTTGGAGTGGATTTCAGTTCAAAATACAGATTTCTGTTGCTTGGTGACAGGTCAATGTCAGGGTATAAAGAATAGGTCAAGGTAACTTTCTTAAGGACTGAAATATTTTTGAAGGCTAATATTTGATTTTTCTCTCAGTAAATACTGAGCACTGATAGAATGGATAGTGCTGTACTAACCTCATATAAACTAATAAGTAAGCAGAAATTAATATAGAAAAATCAGTCCTCAGAAAGTATGTTTGATTCCTTTTGAGTTAGGAAAAGAAATAAATTACCTGATATTATAATGATTGCCTGCTTCTACTTTCAGAACATATAGAAAAACAGTTTACTTTTCACTAGACAGGAACTAGACCATAGAATAACTTTAGAAATATATAGTAGTCGCATATAACCATTCCTAACATCATTTTTCTAGCTTCTCTACTGTCCTCAGTTTAAAAGTGATTATTATTCTCCCAATCTTTAAAACCTGGTCATTGTTTAATTTTGGTAGTATTGCAGGTATGATTTATACTTGGTATGCAAAGGTGGATTGTTATTCCTTTCATTCGTTGGCTTCCTATTTTTTTTTTCAACCTGATTACATGCTTTGGCATATAAGCACTTTGGACCAATCTATTCCCCTTTATACTCTGGTCTTCCTGACCTCCTCCATGTACTTGTGGGACTCTTAGGGCAGGTTCAGGAATCTTCTCAGCTATTACTATTAACGAATGCCACCCAGCATCTGAGGAGCATGTGGTGGTTTCATAGCAAGGCCAGAATCATCCCTGAGGGAGAAGGAGGACAGAAAAAGAGAAATATCAAGTGAGAAGAAGAAAAAGGGAGGAGAATTCCATGCTTAACATATGGGGCCACAGCATACCATCTGCTTACTTGTCTATTAATGCTCTTTTCATTCTGAAGGTCTTAAGGCTATCATTGTCTCCAGCAGAGATTTTTTAAGATAAACTGTATTATGTAAAGATGCCTTGCAGCCCAGAGAAGGCCAAGAAGGATGGGTTGGTATTTCTTCTGAGTTGCAGCAATTCTATTTTTAATATGTTGGAGTCCTATATGAGATATATTTTAGGGGTTCTGCTGCCAAGAGAGAGACAGAGATAGAGACAGACAGAGATAGAACACTATTTGCCTTCATTCCTTAAATCCCTACAAATCATATGCAGTGCCTTTTCTTACCATCCACACATATATCCTAGGAGTATCACATTATTATTAATCTGGGGATTTTGAGGTCTAAGGATTTTTTTTTTTTTAATTTAACCTTTCTGTTAGTATATCACATACAGCTGTGTCAGGATTTAAGGAAAATATAAAACATATTTACTAAAATCATCTGTTTTCATAAAATAAGTGTTTATTTTAATGTTATAAAAAAGTTTACTCCGGGCGCCTGGGTGGCTCAGTCTTTAAGTGTCTGCCTTTGGCTCAGGTCATGATCCCAGGGTCCTGGGATCGAGTCCCGCATCGGGCTCCCTGCTCGGCGGGAAGCCTGCCTCTCCCTCTCCCACTCCCCCTGCTTGTGTTCCCTCTCTCGCTGTGTCTCTCTCTGTCAAATAAATAAATAAAATCTTTAAAAAAAAAGAAAGTTTACTCATATTCTCTAACCAGCACCATCTTTGGAACCACTTAGTTGACAGAGAACTTGCAAGCACAGAACATTAAAGTATCAAGTACAAAAAGACACCTCAATTAAAAACCTGCAAATGAAAATAAGCTTTATTTAAAATTATAATTTCAAGGGAGAGGGTATTTTCCAAAAATATAAATAATATCCCTTTTTTCAAGAATGCATCTATTTTAAGGAATAATATATGTATTATTAGTAGTAAGGAATAATATATTTGTCTTAGTCCATTTACACTGCTATAAAAAACACCATAAACTAGATGGTTCATAGATGGCTGTCTTTTTGTTGTAACCTACATGGTGTAAAAGCTTAAGAAGGGTCTTTGGGGGCTTTTTTGTAAGGGCACTAATTCCATAAGGGCCTGATCACCTCTTAAAGGCCCCATTTCCGATATCATCCTCTGGGGGGTTAGGATTCAACATGTGAATTTGCCAGGGGGACATTCAGATCATAGAAATATGTATTGAGCAACATTTGTTGAGTGACTGTTAGGTACAAGATACGGTTCTAGGCAGCTGGGAATGCAAAAATGAATAAAATGTGGGCCTTGCCTTCCCTCCTGGAGTTGCAGTGTACTGAAGGAGAAAAATACACAAATAATGATTATATATAAATATCCAAAGGGAGTCACAAATGAAGATATATGGGAGTTTCAG